AGAAAGAGAAAATAGAGGAGTTTGTTTTGTTTTGTTTTCTGTTATTCAAGTTCTATTTTGAAAGCAGAGAAGCTATTTTGGACTCTTTTTTTTCTCTCATAAGAAAACATGACTTGCTTAACATCAATAACAGCCTTGATGATAAAAAAATATCAAGCACATTTAGGACAACATATAAAATATTGATAATTATACATCATGATATTGGATAAATGGGGTCAGCAATTCAATTAATGTGAGAGTCTTGAGGTATTCCTTTGAATTACTAGCCACTTAGAGTTTGTGCTGCACAAACTAAAGAATAAGTGATTAAAAGCATAGAAAAATCAAAACTAATTTACTTTTTTACTTTTGAGTATCTTGGGGAATCTAGAATGACTAAGAGATAGAAAAGTATTAAAAATTTAGCATAGAACTAATAACAAGTTCTAGTCTTTATTGCTACTCATTGTAGATAATCAGATGTATCCTGATAGCAAAGAATATTAGAAACATGTTTACTTGTGTTTTATTGGCTCTGCACAGGCATTCAATTGTGTGCATCATAACAATTTATGGATAACATTAAGAATGAGAATTTCAGAGCACTTAATTGTACTCATGAAGAACATATAAATTCACCAAGAGGCAGCTGTTAGAACAGAACAAGGACATACTGAATGGTTTAAAATAAGGAAAAGTGTGTGTCAGGGTTGTAGCCCATAACCGTATTTATTAAATCTATATGCTGAGCAAATAATCTGAGAAGCTGGACATTATGAAGAACAGAATGACATCAGGATTGGAGGAAGATTCATTACCAACCTGAGATATGCAGATGATATAAACTTGCTTTCCAGAAGTGAAGATTTGAAGTACTTATTCATGAAGATCAAAGAATACAGTACATTGCACCTCAAAGTAAAGAAAGAGAAAATCCACACAAATGGACCAATAAATAGTATCATGAAAAATGGAGAAAATGCTGAAGTTGTCAAAGATTGCACTGCGTTTGGACCCAAAATGAACACTCCTGGAAGAAGCAGTCAAGAAATCAAATGACATATTGCATTAGGAAAATCTGCAAAAGACCTTTTTTAAATGTACAAGAGCAAAGATGTCAGCATGAGGATTAAGGTATTCCTGACCCAAGCCATGGTATTTTCATTCACCTCCTATTCATGTGAAAGTTTGACAATGAATAAGGAAGACTGGAAGAAGAATTGATACATGTAAATTATGGTATTGGTGAAGAATATTGAAACTACCATGAACTTCCATAAAAAGAAGCAAGTCCATCTTGAAAAAAGTATATCCAGAATGTTTCTTGGAAGCTAAAATGGCAAGACTTCATCTAACATACTTTGGACATGTTATCAGGAGGGACCAGTTCCTTGAAAACGGCATAATACTTGGTAATGTGGAGGACCAATCAAAAAGAGGAAGGCCCCCAACCAGATAGACTGACAAGTGAAAGTAACAATGGGCTCAAACATAAATACTGTGAAGATGGTGCAGCAATGGGCAGTATTTCATTCTGCTGTGCATAGGGTCTCTATGAGTCTGAACTGACCATATGCACCTAACAACAACAAATACTACATCTGTGGGAATATCCAATCACATCATGCCCTCACATTGAAAGAAGATGCCTCTGAATCCTTCTCAGCATAATATGTTTAAATTCCAATGCCAAACAACCAGATCGGGAGAACAAAATGCTGATAGAAAACTATCAGCGTAATCACATGGTAAATTGTATGTCTTTTCTGCCATTTTTCAACAGGGATATTATTAGCAACAATAATAGGTGCAGTGGGGAGAAATAATTCTTTCAATTTTCTAACTTCAGACTTTTGGAAGCTGTTTTACCTGTGTTCATCCACATTCCAAGTAATTGCAATTAATTATACAGCAATCCAACAAGTAACAATAAAAAGAGAAGGAGTTATACAAACTATTTCAAATACAGAACTTTACTATGAAATTCTACACTTTGATCTAGAGTTGGAGAAATAATATTTTCAAATTTCAGCAGTCTTTTATTTTTGTTTTATTCTTCTTCTAATGAAACTTTCACCACCAATAACTCATTCTCCGGTTAATTATCTTCTTAAATTACCTTGCAGCATTTATCATTCACTTGAAGTTTTACATATATTTTTTCATGTTTATTTAATGTTCTGGAACACAAGTTCTGAGAGGTCAGGACTTTGTCTTTCTTGTGAAATTCTTGGTATCTACAAAAATGTATAAAATGAAATGATTGTGAAAGAATTTAAATGATTGAGAAATGTTTTAAAGAATACCGCTTGAGTATAATTTTGACTGATGAAGTTAAGTTTGAAAAGGAATTCTTTGACTCTCCTGGTAATGAGATGAAGGGATTCTACTTATATCTCTATAACAGAACAAGATTTAAGAGTTTAAATGGAATAAAATGTAGTGGTGAAAAGATTCATGAATGTGGCTTTGAGTATCAGTTTTGACACTGACTCTGAGACCTTGAAGAAGATAGTCAAACTTTCTTTTTCTTCATTTCCCTAATATATAAAATTATAACAAAATCTAGTCAATAGAATTATAGGAAGAGTAAAGGTAATATGTGAAAAACACTAAAGTTAATGTCTGTTCTTATTCTGTAAGAGTTGTCTATTGCTGTTATAGTTGATATTGCTGTAAAAGCACATTATGTACATGTCCATTTAACCTTGTGTAAGTTTCTTCATCTATCAGGAGAAAAAAAGACTGCCTAACTCACAAAATCATTGTGAGAATGAAAAGCAAAATATGTAGAATAGGACTAGACACAAGTAATATGACATATCTGTGGGTTTTATTGGTATACACATTTTTCTCAAGTGATTTTTATTCATTGACTCTGTCCATTCTCCCTTCTATGTTCCAGTCTGTGATCTTTATTCGTGACAGAAATTCTCATGGACAGGAGGTGTCGGGATATATTGACTATGCCCACAGATTAAAGATAGAAGATTTTGAAGTTTACTTCAGTGGAAAAAAAAGACTACTTCCAAAGCCCACAGATCTGAGGTAAATTGTTTACATTCCCTCGAACCTTTAATAAAAGATGATCTTCCCTAGGAGGGAGGATGAAGGATTTTTATTTTATGTTCCATATTGTTCTTAGAATGCTAATGTATCTATACAGGAACTGTGGCAAGACTGATTATGAATAACTAAATATATTAAAATAAGGAAAGAATATGGAAGTATTTTTACTTTAACAGCTTTAGGATGGGATCTTTTAGAGCAAAATACCAAGGAAATTTGCAGCAAATTATAAGCCTATGCATTGCTAACCTCATTAAGCTCTGCATCACTTGGGACTCAGTCAAACTAGAAGGCTCAAGAGCAGTCCATCTAACACTGTATCCTCCCACTTTTCTTTGGACTTTTGCCAAGGTGCAGACCTCTGGCCAGCTCAGTCTCATTATCTCTCATCACTAGTCTATTCTGAGATTCCTCACCATCAATATTTTCTTATTTCTATTGACTCCTTACACTTTCCTCTGGAACACTCATTCCATCACATAGGATCTACTCTACACTGCCAATATGTTCAAACCCTCTTCTGAATAGTTTCAGAATAGCTCTCAAATTACAGCTTGTTATTCTGATGTCTCACTTATCATAGAACCCAAAAATTGAAGCAGCATTCTGCTTTAACTCTCTTTGCTCTCTCCAGATCATTGTTTGACATTATAACAAAGTTCTCCTCCTATGAGGTCCCTGAAATACTCTCTCTGACTTCACTATTATCATCTGAAAACTTCCTATCTATCACCACTTTAATGAAATCATCATTACTCCTATCCAACTTATACACAATTACTTCTCTCTGACAGTACCCCCACTCTGTGTATCTTCTTGTCTGTAGTTATATCTGTCCTGATAATTCTCTCAAACAGATAAGCCCACACATACATTTATCTGCAAGTGTAGCTAAATACCTGGACACTGCTGAAGGAATTTTTACAAAAGTTTTAATGTTTGCTATTAATAGTAACAGCTGGGACCTTCATGCCCCTCAGCTACCCAACTTTTAAAAACTTTTTATTGTGATTTGAGTGAAGGTTTACAGACAAAATCATAAGTATTACATTCAACAAATCATATATTTTGTCTCATCTTTATGATTGCAATCCCCTTCAAACAAAAACAGTTATCCCACTTTCTCCTTATACTTCCTATTTCTGTTCTACCCAACTTCCCATTCCTTCTCATCTTTGTCCTTAGGTAAATGTTGCTCTTTTGATTTTGAGTGATAGACCACTCATGGAAAGCATACCTTACTAGTATTATATACCTTTCTACTGCTTGCCTGAAAAATGGGGCCAGAAGGGTGAGCTGCTTTCCAGGCTTGAAGGGTTCTTGAGGGCCATTGTCTAGTGTTCATCCAGATCTTTCTGAGCAGTAAGCCCAGGCTTTTTTTTTTTTTTTTCATAATTCTGAGTTCTGTTCCATATTTTCTCCCACTCTACTCGGGTCCTTACAATGTGATCCCTTTCAGAGATATTGGTAGTTGAAGCCAGGCACCATCTAATCCTTCTGGCCTCAGTGGCATGGAAACTGATGTGAACATACTCCATTAATTCATTGGACTAATTGATACCAGGCATCTTCAGTTCTCACCAGTCTTCTTTCCTACACACATGGAGAGACCAATAGTTGCACCTTGGTTGGCCATTCCCAAGCATTTAAGATCCCAGATGCTACTCACCAAGGTAGGATACACAACAGTGTCTTTGTGGACTAGGTTATGCCAATTGACAATGGTGTCCCTGAGACTATGGTCCTGAGTCCCAAGGCCCAGAAACTCATTGCCTTAAGATGTCTGATAATATCTAAGAAGTTGTCATCATTTTGTCTGTTGTATGCTCATATGCATACAAAAGCTCGACAGTGAATAAAGAAGACTGTAGAAGAATTGATGCTTTTGAGTTATGGTGTTGGAGGAGAATATTGAAAGTGCCATGGGCTGCCAAAAGAACCA